CTGTCGGATGATGAATGGCATGAAGCTGAGTGGCCAAGAGACTGATGGCAAATCTATAGAAATATGCCTTTTTTTAAACATCAATATTTTGTATTTTTTTCTTGTTAACTATTTTAACTTACTGGCTGGATATATAAAGATGTTTTAAAAATTCAGTTGCTTTTTGATGAAATTTACTTTTTTATTTTTTTTTATTTTTTTATTTTTTTTATTATTATTTTTTTTTTTGAGACGGAGTCTTGGTCTGTCGCCCGCGCTGGAGTGCAGTGGCCGGATCTCAGCTCACTGCAAACTCCGCCTCCCGGGTTTACGCCATTCTCCTGCCTCAGCCTCCCGAGTAGCTGGGACTACAGGTGCCCGCCACCTCGCCCGGCTAGTTTTTTGTATTTTTTAGTAGAGACGGGGTTTCACTGTGTTAGCCAGGATGGTCTCGATCTCCTGACCTCGTGATCCGCCCGTCTCGGCCTCCCAAAGTGCTGGGATTACAGGCTTGAGCCACCACGCCCGGCCTACTTTTTTATTTTTTAAGGACCGGGGTTGTATTTGAACGTTTGCACTGAGACTGCAATATGCAATTTTTTTTGTAGTTGTGGCACCATGCTGACATCAAACGTGACTCTGATAATAAATACCAGTTCCTGGAAAAATGAAAAAAGAAAACCAATTCTCAACCTATTATTTTCCAAAAAAGTTCTAAATTACATTTACCTGAACATGAAAAAGTTTAAATATTAACAAATAGCTGCCATTAATTAAGTGCTATGTGCAAGGCACTGTCATAAGTGCTTTCTCATATGTTATTTCACTTAATTTTCTCAATCACATAAAGTAGTGTCTGTTATTTCCATTTTATGAAAGAGAAAATGGAAGAGGAGAAGACAGCAGAAGTGTTTTAAGTAAAAATTTCCACATAATTTCAATATAAATAACTTGCAACGTCAAAACAGTATATTTATAACCAACAAAACACTTTAATTAAAAAGTTAACCAGGCTGGGTGCAGCGGCTCATAAGGTCAGGAGTTCGACCTTATGAGTCAACATGGTGAAACTCGGTCTCTACTAAAAATACAAAAATGAGCTGGGCATGGTGGCGGGTGCCTATAATCCCAGCTATTTGGGAGGCTGAGGCAGGAGAATTGCTTGAACCCGGGAGCGGAGGTTGCAGCGAGCTGAGATCACACCACTGCACTCCAGCCTGGGCAACAGAGTGAGACTCCATCTCAAAAAAAAAAAAAAAAAAAAAAAGTTGGTTCACAGGAGTTCAGTTTCCCGTTTCATAACTTATATATATATAGAGCAGGAGTCTGGCTCTGTCAGCCCAGGCTGGGTGGGGTGGCCCAGATCTCGGCTCGCAGCTCCGCCTCCCAACTGCCTCCTTCTCCTGCCTCAGCCTCCTGTCGGACTGCAGGCGCCCGCCTCGCCTTCCCGACTAGTTTTTGTATTTTTAGTAGAAACGGGTTTCACTGTGTTAGCCAGGATGGTCTCTTTTTTTCTTGCCTGCTCCCCCTTCCTGAGCCAGCAATTTCCCATTTCTCTTTTTTTTTTTTTTTTTTTTTTTTGAGATGGAGCCTTGCTCTGTCACCTGGGCTGATACAGCAGTTCTATCTCAAGCTCCACCTAACCTCTACCTCCCAGGTTCAAGCAGTTCTCCTGCCTCAGCCTCCCAAGTAGCTGGCTGGAGTGCAGTGGCCAGATCTCGGCTCACTGCAAGCTCCGCCTCCCGGGTTTACGCCATTCTCCTGCCTCAGCCTCCCGAGTAGCTGGGACTACAGGCACCCGCCACCTCGCCCGGCTAGTTTTTTGTATTTTTTAGTAGAGACGGGGTTTCACTGTGTTAGCCAGGATGGTCTCTTTTTTTTTTTTTCTTGCCTGCTCCCCCTTCTGAGCCAGCAATTTCCCATTTCTCTTTTTTTTTTTTTTTTTTTGAGATGGAGCCTTGCTCTGTCACCTGGGCTAGAGTACAGCAGTTCTATCTCAGCTCACTGCAACCTCTACCTCCCAGGATCAAGCAGTTCTCCTGCCTCAGCCTCCCAAGTAGCTGGGATTACAGGTGCATGCCACCACACCCAGCTACTTGTTTTCTATTTTTAGTACAGACGGGATTTTGCCATGTTGGCCAGGGTGGTTTCGAACTCCTGACCTCAAGTGATCCACCTGCCTTGGCCTCCCAAAGTGCTGGGATTACAGGCGTGAGTGAGCTACCGTGCGCAGCCAGGTTTTTTACTTCTGCCTTCTGCCTGAATGGTCCGTTGGAATGGGTAATTTTTCAACTGAACCACTGGCTGAACAAAACCTCAAGATAAAATTAACCTGTAAAAGCTTTAAGTTTACAGCAGGGCACGGTGGCTAATACCTGTAATCCCAGTACTTTGGGAGGCCGAGGTGGGTGGATCAGGAGGTCAGGAGTTTGAGACCTGCCTGGCCAATATGGTGAAACCCTGTCTCTACTAAAAATACAAAAATTAGCCAGGCGTGGTGGCGGGCTCCTGTAGTCCCAGCTACTTGGGAGGCCGAGACAGAAGAATCGCTTGAACCCAGGAGGCAGAGGTTGCAGTGAGCCTAGATCGTGCCACTGCACTCCAGCCTGGGCGACAGAGCGAGGAAAAAAAGAAAAAGGCTGGGTGCAGTGGCTCATGAGGTCAGGCTTTCGAGACAAGCCTGGCCAACAAAGTGAAACACCGTCTCTACTAAAAATACAAAAAATTAGCTGGGCAAGGTTGTGGGTGTCTGTAATCCCAGCTACTCGGGAGGCTGAGGCAGGAGAAAAGCTTGAACCTGGAAGGTGGAGGCTGCAGTGAGCCGAGATGGTGCCACTGCACTCCACGCACTCCAGCCTAGGTGACAGTGCGAGACTCCATCTCAAATTAAAAAAAAAAAAAAAAAAAAGCTGTGTTTTCAAATTGGCTGGTAGGAGCTCAAAATTAAACCTCTGATAGAAATAATGTTACAAATACAGATTAGAGTTCCAGGGCAGCTCCTATGTGCATAGTTAACCCATAATATAACTGAATTCAAAAATCTAGAACCTAGGCCAGGTACAGTGGCTCACACCTGTAATGCCAGCACTTTGGGAGGCCAAGTCAGATAGATCACTTGAGCCTAGGAGTTTGAGACCAGCCTGGGCAACATGATGAAACCCTGTGTCTACTAAAAATATAAAAAAATTTGCCGGGTGTTATGGTGCACGCCTACAGTCCCAACTACTTGGGAGGCTGAGGTGGGAGGATCATCTGAACCCAGGAAGTCGAGGCTGCAGTAAGCTGTGACTGCGTCACTGCACTTCACACAGGCCAACAGCTGGACTGAGACTCTGTATCAAAAGAAAAATATAAATCTAGAACCTATTATACAAATAATATAAAAAACTACAGCCGGGCATGGTGGCTCACGCCTGTAATCCCAACACTTTGGGAGGCCGAGGCGGGCGGATCACGAGGTCAGGAGATCGAGACCATCCTGGCTAACACGGTGAAATCCCATCTCTACTAAAAAATACAAAAAAATTAGCCAGGCGTGCGCCTGTAGTCCCAGCTACTTGGGCGGCTGAGGCAGGAGAATGGCATGAACCCAGGAGGTGGAAATTGCAAGTGAGCCGAGATCGTGCCACTGCACTCTAGTCTGGGCAACAGAGTGAGAGTCCGTCAAAAGAAAAGAAGGAAAGGAAAAGGAAAAGGAAAAGGAAAAGGAAAAGAGAAAAGAAAACAGAAAAGGAAAAGAAAAGAAAAACTACATTCCATATCTCAACACCAGGCCTATATGTACCCCTACTAAAGCTATAGATATCTGGTACTGGGTAAACTATATATCTAAATGCAAAAAAAAAAAACAAAAAAAACTTACCTTACACTACATAGAAAATTAACTCAAAATTGATCAAATACCTAAACATAAGAGCTAAGACTCCTAGAAGAAAATACAGGCTGGATGTGGTGGCTGACACCTGTAATCTCGGCACTTTGGGAGGCCAAGGGGGGTAGATCACCTGAGCTCAGGAGTTTGAGACCAGCCTGGACAACATGGTGAAACTTCATCTCTACCAAAAATACAAAAAACTAGCTGGGTGTGGTGGGTGTGCCTGTGGTCTCAGCTACTTGGGAAGCTGAGGTGGGAGGATCACTTGAGCCTGTGAGGCAGAGGTTGCAGTCATCTGAGATTGTACCACTGCACTTCAACTTGGACGACAGAGTGAGGCCGCTTCTCAAAAAAATGTGCCTGTGTGTGTGTGTGTGTGTGTGTGTACACATGGGAAAAGCTCATTACACTGGATTTGGCAATGGTTTCTTGGTCATGACAACAAAAGCACACGTAATAAAAAGAAAAACAGATAAACTGGGCATCAAAGTCCAAAAATTTTGAGCCAGGTGCCACAGCTCACACCTATAATCCCACCTACTTGGGAGGCTGAGGTAGAAGGACCATTTGAGACCAGTCTGAGCAACAAGGTGAAATTCCATCCCTAAAAAACTAAAAAAATTAGCCAGGCATTATGGTGCACACCTACAGTCCTAGCTACTACTTGGAAAGCTGAGGTGGGAGGATCCCTTGAACTCAGGAGTTCAAGAATGCAGTGAGCTGCAAGCGCAAGCGCACCACTGCATTCCAGCCTGGGTGACACAGTAAGACCCTACCTCTTACAAAATTTTGTTTTTAACTTTTGTGTATCAAAGTACACTATCAACAGAGTGAAAAGACAAACCATGGAATGGCAGAAAATACTTGCAAATCATGTATCTCATAAGAAGTTCTTATCTAGAATACATAAAGCATTACAATCTGAAAGAAAAAAACTACCAGATTCAAAAGTGGGCAAAGGACTTGAATAGGCATTTCTCCAAAGAGGATATACAAACAGACAATAAACATATGAAAACACACTTGACATCACTAATTATCTAATTATCATGGAAATGCTAATTAAAACCACAACAAGAAACAGCTTCACACTCATTTGGATGACTATTATCAAAAAACAAAACAAGCCTCTTTTTCCGCTGGAACCATGGAGGGTGTAGAAAAGAAGAAGAAGAAGGCTCCTGCTGTGCCAGAAACCCTTAAGAAAAAGCGAAGGAATTTCACAGAGCTGAAGATCAAGCGCCTGAGAAAGAAGTTTGCCCAAAAGATGCTTCAAAAGGCAAGGAGGAAGCTTATCTATGAAAAAGCGAAGCACTACCACAAGGAATATAGGCAGATGTACAGAACCGAAATTCGAATGGTGAGGATGGCAAGAAAAGCTGGCAACTTCTATGTACCTGCTGAACCCAAATTGGCGTTCGTCATCAGGATCAGAGGTATCAATGGTGTGAGCCCAAAGGTCCGAAAGGTATTGCAGCTTCTTCGCCTTCGTCAAATCTCCAATGGAATCTTTCTGAAGCTCAACAAGGCTTCGATTAACATGCTGAGGATTGTAGAGCCATATATTGCATGGGGGTATCCCAATCTGAAGTCAGTAAATGAGCTAATCTACAAGCGTGGTTATGGCAAAATCAATAAAAAGCGAATTGATTTGACGTAACGCTTTGATTGCTCAATCTCTTGGTAAATATGGCATCATCTGCATGGAGGATCTGATTCATGAGATCTATACTGTTGGAAAACGCTTCAAAGAGGCAAATAACTTCCTGTGGCCCTTCAAATTATCTTCTCCACGAGGTGGAATGAAGAAAAAGACCACCCATTTTGTACAAGGTGGAGATGCTGGCAACAGGAAGGACCAGATCAACAGGCTTATTAGAAGAATGAACTAAGGTGTCTACCATGATTATTTTTCTAGGCTCATCAGTTAATAAACAGTACCCGCTCAAATTGAATAAATAAATAAATAAATAAAAATAAAAAGTGCTGGCAAAAATGTGGAGAAATTGGGATCCTTGGGTTTTGCTGGAGAGAAGGTAAAATAGTAAAGCTGCTGTGGAAAGTGGCATGGCAGTTCCTCAAAAAAATTAAATATAGACTTGCCATATGATCCAACAATTCTACGTCTAGGTATACATCCAAAAGAACTGACAGTAGGGTCTCACACAGTACACCCAAATTCATAGCAGCATTTTTCACAACAGCTAAAAGGTGGATGCAACCGAAGTGTCCATCAATGGATGAATGGATTAACAAAATGTGGGACATACATACAATTAAGTAGTATTCAGCCTTAAAAAGCAAGGAAATTCTGACATATATTATGAATCTTGAGGACTGTTTAATGAACATGGAGTTTCAGTTTGAGAAGATGAAGTTCTGGAGAGAGATGGTAGACAACAAGGTGAATGTACTTAATACCACAACTGTATACTTACAAATGGCTAAAATGGTTTAAAACAGTTTTTAATAAAACTATAGATCTTCGTCTAATCCAAAGGTTTCCAAAAGAGTGAGAGACCAAGCACCCTGGAATTGGAAAACAAAATCTCTTTTTTTTTTTTGAGACACGGTCTCACCCTGTCACCCAGGCTGGAGTGCAGTGGCAGGTTCACAGCTCACTTGCAGTCTCAACTTCCAGGCTCAAGCGATCTTCCCACCTCAGCCTACAGAGCAGCTGGGACTATAGGGATGCACTACTAGGCCCAGCTAATTTTTTAATCTAAAAGTCCTTTGCCCACTTTTGAATCTGGTTGTTTTTTTCTTTCAGATTGTAGATTGGGTCAGATTTCAGATTGGGTCCCAATGTGTTGCCCAGGGTGGTCTCAAACTCCTGGGCTCAAGTGATCTGCCCACCTTGGCTTCTTGAAGTGCAGTGATTACAGCTGTGAGCTACCATGCCTGGCCCTATTTTTTTTTCCTAACCAACTACTGTCAACAAGGGTAGAATACAATGGGGACAGAAGAAAAGGACAGGAAAAGGGATCAAGTAAAATTTGCCTCCTACCTCACCTTTTTAATATTTACTTATTTTTAAAAATGACAAAAACACCTGAAGACAAAAAACGGCAACTGTCAGGTACACAAAGTGCTGAAATACTTCATCTTAATTCCAGACTTTAAAATTCTCTATCTATCTATGTATCTATCTATCTATTTTTTTGAGACGGAGTCTTGCTGTGTCACCCAGGCTAGAGTGCAGTGGCATAATCTCAGCTCACTGCAACCTCCGCCTCCCAGATTCAAGCAATTATCCTGCCTCAGCATCCTGAATAGCTGGGATTACAGGCATGCGCCACCACGCCTAACTTTTGTAATTTTAGTAGAGACAGGGTTTCACCATGTTGGCCAGACTGGTCTCAAACTCGTGACCTCAGGTGATCTGCCCGCCTTGGCCTCCCAAAGTGCTGGATTACAGGTATGAGCCACCGCACCTGGCCACAATATACGCTTTTTTTTCCCCCTAGGATTTCACAACAGGAAATAGAAGAATAAGCAAGGTTGGGAGGAGACTGGGAAAAGATGGCAAAAATTGTAGAGGAGGAGCTGACCACAAGACAGTTTTGAGGGAACCAATGCTGAGGGAAGAAGAAAAAGCAATCCAGTGCTAATCGGGGAGCCTCTCTTTCCACTATCAATCTAACCAATTCGAACTCTTTCCTTTGGTCTAAACTGAAGAGAAGGTAACCTGAGGGCAAAGAAGTCGGGGAAATACAAGCTACAGCCTCAGAAAGAGAAAAGCACTTCTATGACCCACTGGAGTTCTGCCTAGAGATCCACTCTTATAAATTAACTGGGTTCTGCCTAGGCTATAGAAAGCTAGAGAGAATGCCACCACCAGCTTAACAACAAAAAGCCTGAATAAACTACAAAATTGAACACTTTAAAAACCCATCCTGCCAGGTGCGGTGGCTCACGCTTGTAATCCCAGCACTTTGGGAGGCCAAGGTAGGTGGATCACCTGAGGCCGGGAGTTCAAGACCAGCCTGACCAACATGGAGAAACCCCGTCTCTACTAAAAATACAAAATTAGCCGGGGTGGTGGCACATGCCTGTAATCCCAGCTACTCGGGAGGCTGAGGCAGGAGAATCGCTTGAACCCGGGAGGCGGAGGTTGCGGTGAGCCGAGATCGTGCCATTGCACTCCAGCCTGGGCAAAAAGAGCGAAACTCTGTCTCAAAAAAACAAAAACAAAACAAAACAAAAAACCAAAAAACCATCCAAGAGCTGAGGACTCAGGGCAACAAGGCGATCTCAAATCCAAGAAAATACAACCCCTTCCTAGGAGAGACAGAATGAAAGCAGTGGCTCACCTGAGGGTAGACCAAGGGAAGAAACAATGGTTCCATAAAAGCAGGTAAAAAGAATTCATCTAAAATTGTTAACAAACTGCTGAAGGCAAAGTGTGCATTAGCATGAGAATATTATTCCTGAGAGACACAGTTAACAAGTGAAATTCAAACCATTTGCAAGATCTTCTACAGACCTCCACCAAAGGCTCACAATACAGGAACATGGGACCGAAGAGAGCCCTCCTCTGGGGTGCAGTGCTGGAGGAAGGGAGCAGCTTCTGCAATGGGAAAAATACAAAGCCCCAACCAGATCCTTCTCTTCTAGGGAACGAAAACTGGAAGGGACTGGTGGAGGAACAGTAAGCCCAGTTACCCGCAAGGCACAAGTGAATTGGGCAGGTGGGGGAGTGAAAGGAAAAAAAACTCTACCACTGTAGGGGAAGGAAACAGTGTTGGACCCAGGGTCTTATACCAAAGGCATTAGAGATCTTAGAGATCTAATATCTAATACCACTGAGGTGAGAGCAGAGAAACTCTTTTCCAGACAATACCTACAAAGATACAAATTGCAGTTTGGCCTAGAGAAGCAAGATCATTGATAGAGTCCTACTCATGACGCCAAGGCACATAAGCCAAACGCTGAGAGCTGATCAGGAAAATTCAGAAACACGTTCCCACATGCCAACTACCAATCTAAGCATAAAGTAACACGAGAGAAATTTGAAGCCAATGGTGCACTTAAGGAACCCTCTGCAACAACAAAACAGAAACTCAGCTTAACTCCTGACTAGACTGACTCAACTTCCTACACTAAAAGTCCAGGAATGCAATGTTCCAGGTATAAATATTATTTACTCATTCTTTACTACCCTATTCACAATATCCAGCATTCAGTAAAATGCAAGACACACAAAAAAGGAAGAAATTACAACCAACTGTCAAGAGAGAAAGCATTCAACAGACCAGAAATCAGGATGAAGTTAAAAAAAAATTTAAAAAAACAGAAATTAAATTTTTGTGATAAACCGTTAGCAGTTTAGAAAAAAAGACACAAATAACCATTATTAGGAAGGAAAAAGTGAACATCACTATAGATCCTATATACTTTTAAGGAGAATTTACAGAATATTACCAACAGGACCAGGCGCAGTGGCTCATGCCTATAATCCCAGCATTTTGGGAGGCCAAGGCAGGCAGATCACCTGAAGTCAGTAGTTCGAGACCAGACTACCAGACTGGGCAACAGAGTGAAACCCCATCTCTATTAAAATTACAAAAATTAGGCACCGTGGTGCACACCTGTAATCCCAGCTACTCAGGAGAGGCAGGAAAATCGCTTAAACCGGGGGGGGGGGGGGGGGGGGGGGGGGAGAGGTTGCAGTGAGGAGGTTGCAGTGAGCCGAGATCACGCCACTGCACTCCAGCCTGGGCAACAGAGCAAGACTCCATCTCAAAAAAACAAAAAACAAAAAAAAACTGTATGCCTGTATACTCAATAATTCAGATGAAAGTCAAATTCCTCAAATCATATGGATCACCAAAGCTCACATGTTAGATAACCTAATTAGCCCCATATCTATTAATTTCTAAAATTGAAACTGTAGTAAAAAACCTCCAACATAGAAAACTCCAGGCCCAAATGGCTTCACTGGAGAATCCTACCAATCACCTAAAAAGAAACAATACAAATCTACATGAACTTTTCCAGAAAACAGAAGGGAATACTTCCCAATTCATTTTATGAGACCAACATTACCCTGATAACAAAACCAAACAAACAGAATACAATATTAATTTGGCCCAGTACAGATTAGGAATTGCTTTTGTAACATCAGCAACCTGATTTTATTAAATTTAAAATATAAAGCAAACAGTTTTAAATATACATATACAGCCTCACGTTGGTAATGCTACTATTTACGCCAGAATTTACCACATCCTTTCAGTTCTTTAGAGTTCCATTACTAGACAAATTCTCTTCTATTACAGGTTGAGTATCTCGAATTTGAAAATACAAAATCTGAAATGCTCCATAATCCAGAAACTAGTGCGGACATGACACTCAAAGAAAATGCTCAACCAGTATAATGCAGTATAATGCAAATATTCCCCCCCCTCCCCCGCCAAAAAAACACAAAAATAGAAAGACCTTTGGTCAGGCCGGGCGCAGTGGCTCACGCCTGTAATCCCAGCACTTTGGGAGGCCGAGGGGGGCGGATCACAAGGTCAGGAGTTCCAGACCAGCCTGGCCAATATGGTGAAACCCTGTCTCTACGAAAAATACAAAAATTAGACGGTCATGATGGTGGGTGCCTGTAGTACCCGCTACTTGGGAGGCTGAGGCAGGAGAATCATTTGAACCCAGGAGACGGAGGTTGTGGTGAGACGAGATCACGCCACTGCACTCCAGCCTGGGTGACAGAGCGAGACTCTATCTCAAATAATAACAATAATAATAATAATAAAGATTGGGCAAAAGAGTATGCTTAGGAAAGAAATCTGTGAATGAAAATGATACACTTTAAGCATCATCACAAAACAAACATAGCAATAAGGACAACATTTTAAGCCTAAGAATTCATGACATTGGAAGAAAAAAGTATATAATGTAAAACAATCCCACTTGTTCAAACACTAGAAC